GGAGGGGATACTGGGGATACTGGGGGATACTGGGACGGGAAATTGGGGATACTGGGAGCACTGGGAGGGGATACTGGGGATACTGGGGGACACTGGGACAGGAAATTGGGGGAACTGGGGAAACTGGGGATACTGGGAGCATTGGGATGGGAAACTGGGGGAACTGGGATGGAAACTGGGGATACTGGGGGATACTGGGGGAACTGGGACAGGAACCTGGGGAAACTGGGAGCACTGGGATGGGAAACTGGGGGATCTGGGATGGAAACTGGGGATACTGGGGGATACTGGGGGAACTGGGACAGGAACCTGGGGAAACTGGGAGCACTGGGATGGGAAACTGGGGGATCTGGGATGGAAACTGGGGATACTGGGGGATACTGGGGGAACTGGGACAGGAACCTGGGGAAACTGGGAGCACTGGGATGGGAAACTGGGGGATCTGGGATGGAAACTGGGGATACTGGTACGGGAAGCTTGGGGAACTGGGGGTTACTGGTTCGGGAAACTGGGGATACTGGGACGGGGAACTGGGAGGGGAACCCATGGTGTCCCCCATTGTCACCACCTCCATCTCTCTAGTGTCCCCAAGGTGTCCTGCTGCTATCCCTCTGTGTCCACCTGGTGTCCCCATGGTGTCCCCCATTGTCACCACCTCCATCTCTCTGGTGTCCTCAAGGTGTCCGGCTGCTACCATCCATGTTCACCTGGTGAACCCCCCCCATAGTGTCCCCATTGTCACCACCCCCATCCCCCTGCTGTCCCCAAACTGTCCTGCTGCTACACCTCCATGTGGGGTGTGCCCTCCATGCCCTCAGAGTGTCCCCCTGGTGTCCCCCGTGTCCCCAAGGTGTCCTGCTGCTATCCCTCCGTGTCCACCTGGTGTCCCCATGGTGTCCCCATTGTCACCACTCCCATCCCCATAGTGTCCCTCATGTCCCCAAGGTGTCCTGCTGCTACCACCCAGGTCCACTTGGTGTCCCCATGGTGTCCCCCCATTGTCACCACTCCCATCCCCCTGGTGTCCCCATGGTGTCCCCAAGGTGTCCTGCTGCTACCCCTCCATGTCCCCAAGGTGTCCCCACTGTGTCCCCTTGTCACCACCCCACATCGCCATGGTATTGGGTGTGCCCTCCATGTCCTCAGAGTGTCCCCCTGGTGTCCCCCCATGTCCCCAAGGTGTCCTGCTGCTACCCCTCCATGTCCACTTGGTGTCCCCATGGTGTCCCCATTGTCACCACTCCCATCCCCCTGGTGTCCCCAAATTGTCCTGCTGCTATGCTAATTGTCCTCCATCTCATGTCCCCATGGTGTCCCCCATTGTCACCACCTCCATGTCTCTGGTGTCCCCAAGGTGTCCCGCTGCTACCCCTCCGTGTCCCCAAGGTGTCCCCATTGTCACCACCCCCATTCCCCTGGTGTCCCCCATGTCCCCAAGGTGTCCTGCTGCTACCATCCATGTTCACCTGGTGTCCCCATGTTGTCCCCATTGTCACCACTCCCATACCCCTGGTGTCCCCAAATTGTCCTGCTGCTACCCCTCCTTGTCCATCTCATGTTCCCATGGGGTCCCCCATTGTCACCACTCCCATCCTTCTGCTGTCCCCAAGGTGTCCCACTGCTACCTCTCCATGTCCCAAGGTGTCCCCACGGTGTCCCCCATTGTCATCACTCCCATCCCCCTGGTGTCCCTTGTGTCCCCAAATTGTCCTGCTGCTACCATCCATGTTCACCAGGTGTCCCCATGGTGTCCCCAAGGTGTCCTGCTGCTATCCCTCCAAGTCCAACTGGTGTCCCCATAGTGTCCCCCATTGTCACCCCCTCCATCTCTCTGGTGTCCCCAAGGTGTCCTGCTGCTATCCCTCCAAGTCCAACTGGTGTCCCCATAGTGTCCCCCATTGTCACCCCCTCCATCTCTCTGGTGTCCCCAAGGTGTCCTGCTGCTATCCCTCCATGTCCAACTGGTGTCCCCATAGTGTCCCCCATTGTCACCACCTCCATCTCTCTGGTGTCCCCAAGGTGTCCTGCTGCTATGCTAATTGTCCTCCATCTCATGTCCCCATGGTGTCCCCATTGTCACCACCCCCATCCCCCTGGTGTCCCCAAATTGTCCTGCTGCTATGCTAATTATCCTCCATCTCATGTCCCCATGGTGTGCCCCCATTGTCACCACTCTCATCCCCCTGGTGTCCCCAAATTGTCCTGCTGCTATGCTAATTATCCTCCATCTCATGTCCCCATGGTGTGCCCCCATTGTCACCACTCTCATCCCCCTGGTGTCCCCAAATTGTCCTGCTGCTATGCTAATTATCCTCCATCTCATGTCCCCATGGTGTGCCCCCATTGTCACCACTCTCATCCCCCTGGTGTCCCCAAATTGTCCTGCTGCCCTTCATGTTTACCTGGTGTCCCCATGGTGTCCCCCACTGTCACCACTCCCATCCCCCTGGTGTCCCCCATGTCCCCAAGGTGTCCTGCTGCTACCATCCATGTCACCAAGGTGTCTCCACGCTGTCCCCATTGTCACCACTCCCATCCCCATAGTGTCCCGCATGTCCCCAAGGTGTCCTGCTGCTACCCCTCTGTGTCCATCTCATGTCCCCATGGTGTCCCCATTGTCCCCACCCCCATCCCCCCGGTGTCCCCCCTGTCCCCACAGTGTCCTCCCGCTGTCCCCCCAGGACCTGCTCCGGGCCATCAGTGGGACCCTCATCTTCCTCGTGGCAGCCCTGGTGGCCTTGGCCTCGTCCCGTGACGCCCTGGCTGCCACCACCTTCGTGAGTGTCCCCAAACCCTGCCCCCTCATTGAGCTCCGCCCCTGACCGACCGGGCCACGCCCCCTTCCCCTCCCCCCAGACCTTCAGCCTCGTCCTCGCCTTGGTCTTCGCCTTCGACACCTTCGTCACCTTCCGCACGCGGGTGGCCCCGGGACAGGGTGAGGGGCACTGGGGACACCTGGGACACCCTGGGGTGGGGCTGGGGACACCTGGGACACTTTTGGGTGGAGTTGGGGACACCTGGGACACCCTGGGGTGGGGTTGGGAACATCGGGGACATCCTGGGGTGGGGCTGGGGACACCTGAGACACCTGTGGGTGGGGTTGGGGACACCTGGGACACTTTTGTGTGGAATTGGGGACACCTGGGACATCCTGGGGTGGATTGGGGACACTGGGGACACCCTGGGGTGGGGCTGGGGACACCTGGGGACACCTTTGGGTGGGGCTGGGGACACCTGGGACACGCTGGGGTGGAGTTGGGGACACCTGGGACACCTGTGGGTGGGGTTGGGGACACCTGGGATGCCCATGGGTGGGGCTGGGGACACCTGGGACACTTTTGGGTGGAGCTGGGGGACACCTGGGACACCCTGGGGTGGATTGGGGACACTGGGGACATCCTGGGGTGGGGCTGGGGACACCAGGGACACTTTTGGGTGGAGTTGGGGACACCCTTGGGTGGGGTTGGGGACACCTGGACCATTCTTCTCCACCATGTCCAACTGTTCCTCCTCCAGATCCTGACATGGAGGGCAGCTGATGGTCACCGCCCCCCACCACTGTCTCATCGTCCTCTGGGTCCAGTCCGCCATCCCCCCACCCCAAAAATTAAACCTTGTCCCACAGCTGGTGCTGCTCAGGGTCGTGTTTTTGGCGTGGGGTGGGGCAGGGTGGCCGAGGGGACATTGTGTCCCTTCTATGGCTCATTAATTAATTAATTACGGCATTGGGGTCCCCTCGTCTTGGACAGGGGGTAGGGGGTGTCACTGGTGGGGAGAGGGTCCACTGTGGGGTTTGGAGTCACTCATGAGGGGGGGGGTCCATCATCATCATCATGGGTCTATCATCATCGTCATGGGTCCGTCATCATCATCATGGGTCCGTCATCATCATGGGTCCATCATCATCATCATGGGTCCATCATCATCATCATGGGTCCGTCATCATCATTATGGCGTCATCATCATTATGGGTCCGTCATCATCATCATGGGTCCGTCATCATCATCATGGGTCTGTCATCATCATTATGGGTCCGTCATCATCATCATGGGTCCATCATCATCATCATGGGTCCGTCATCATCATCATGGGTCCGTCATCATCATTATGGGTTTGTCATCATCATTATGGGTCCATCATCATTATGGGTCCGTCATCATCATCACGGGTCCGTCATCATCATTATGGGTCCGTCATCATCATCATGGGTCCGTCATCATCGTCATCATGGGTCCGTCAACATCATAGGTCCGTCATCATCATCATGGGTCCGTCATCATCATCATGGGTCCGTCATCATCATTATGGGTCCGTCATCATCATCATGGGTCCGTCATCATCATCATGGGTCTGTCATCATCATTATGGGTCCGTCATCATCATCATGGGTCCATCATCATCATCATGGGTCCATCATCATCATCATGGGTCCGTCATCATCATTATGGGTTTGTCATCATCATTATGGGTCCATCATCATTATGGGCCCGTCATCATCATCACGGGTCCGTCATCATCATCATGGGTCCGTCATCATCGTCATCATGGGTCCGTCAACATCATAGGTCCGTCATCATCATCATGGGTCCATCATCATCATCATGGGTCCGTCATCATCATTATGGGTTTGTCATCATCATTATGGGTCCATCATCATTATGGGTCCGTCATCATCATCACGGGTCCGTCATCATCATCATGGGTCCGTCATCATCATCATGGGTCCATCATCATCATCATGGGTCCATCATCATCATCATGGGTCCATCATGGTGGTGGTGGGTCCATCTCATCATCATTGTGGGTTCATCTTGGAGGTGATGATTGACTTGTATCATGGTGGGGGGGTCCCCTGTTGTGGTGTGGGGGGTCCCTCGTGGTGTCATCAAGGTGGGTCCCTCACGGTGGTGGCAGCTCCCTCATCACAGGGGCAGGTCACTCATCGTGGTGGTCACACGTCTCTTATCGTGGTGGGGAGTCCACTGTGGTGGTCAGCCCCCCAACATGGGGTGATGGACCCCTCATGGCGATGGTGGGTCCCTCCTCATCATCGTGGTTGGTCAGTCATGGTCATGACGGGACCTTCGTCGCGGTGTGTCCCTCATGGTGGCAGTGGTGGTGGGTCACTCATGGCAGGCCCTTCATAGGGATGGGTCACTCCTCGTCGTGCAGCTTCTGGAGCGCGGTGGGAGAGAAGACAGAAGGTCCGGGGGGGTTGTGGGGCAGCTGTGGGGGGTGACAGGGGGTGACTGACAGGGGGTCCCACCTTGGCTCCGATGTCGCGGCTCTTGGCCCGCAGTTTGTTGACCTGGGACTCGGCGATGTCCGCGCGTTCCTCGGCCTCGTCCAGCTCGTGCTGAGCCTTCCGGAACTTGGCCAGGTTGGTGTTGGCCTGTTCCTCCTGGGGGACAGTGGGTCGGGGGGATTGGTTACGGGAAAGGACATCCTCCTGCCACCCCCACAGCTGAGGTGGCTTCAAGAGTCTGTCTATCCATCCTTCTCTTCCATCCATCCATCCCTCCATTGCCCATCCCTCCATCCATCATCCATCCATCCATCCATCCATCCATCCATCCATCCATCCATCCATCCATCCATCCATCCATCCATCCATCCATCCATCCATCCATCCATCCATCCATCCATCCATCCATCCATCCATCCATCCATCCATCCATCCATCCATCCATCCATCCATCCATCCATCCATCCATCCATCCATCCATCCATCCATCCATCCATCCATCCATCCATCCATCCATCCATCCATCCATCCATCCATCCATCCATCCATCCATCCATCCATCCATCCATCCATCCATCCATCCATCCATCCATCCATCCATCCATCCATCCATCCATCCATCCATCCATCCATCCATCCATCCATCCATCCATCCATCCATCCATCCATCCATCCATCCATCCATCCATCCATCCATCCATCCATCCATCCATCCATCCATCCATCCATCCATCCATCCATCCATCCATCCATCCATCCATCCATCCATCCATCCATCCATCCATCCATCCATCCATCCATCCATCCATCCATCCATCCATCCATCCATCCATCCATCCATCCATCCATCCATCCATCCATCCATCCATCCATCCATCCATCCATCCATCCATCCATCCATCCATCCATCCATCCATCCATCCATCCATCCATCCATCCATCCATCCATCCATCCATCCATCCATCCATCCATCCATCCATCCATCCATCCATCCATCCATCCATCCATCCATCCATCCATCCATCCATCCATCCATCCATCCATCCATCCATCCATCCATCCATCCATCCATCCATCCATCCATCCATCCATCCATCCATCCATCCATCCATCCATCCATCCATCCATCCATCCATCCATCCATCCATCCATCCATCCATCCATCCATCCATCCATCCATCCATCCATCCATCAGCCATCCATCCATCCGTCCATCCATCCCTCTGTCCCATTCACTCACCGCCTCCTCCGCCTGTCTCTTGTAGGCCTTGACTTTCATCTGCAGCTTGTCCACCAGGTCCTGCAGCCGCAGCAGGTTCTTCTTGTCCTCCTCCGTCTGGGGGAACAGGGACAGGGATGGACACTGGACCAGAGCCCAGCCAGAACTCCTAGGCCTCAGTTTCCCTTCCCAGAGACTTCCTCTATCCCCCTTGCCACCAGGTCAATGTTCTGGGTCACCCACGTCCCTTTGGTCGCCCAACGAATGTTGTGGGTCATGTTTGTTCTTGTGGCCATGCAGTCAATGTCTTGGGTCACCCACGTCCCTGTGGTCACCCCGTCAACATTCTGGGTTGACCACGTCCCTGGGGCCACCATCTCTGACACTTTTTCATCCCCCACAGGTATGATTGAAGAGAGGCTGTGCTGTGGTGGCTTCATCTGGTAGCTGAGTTTGACCCACCCAGGTGTTGTCACCTGGCGGCTGAGCTCCATGACCCACCCCCATGGTCTCACCTCCATGGTCTCACCCCCATGGTCTCACCTGGTACCCGAGTCTCACCCCTGTGGTCTCACCTGGTAGCTGAGCTCCTTGACCCACCCCCCACGATCTCACCCTCATGATCTCACCTCCATGGTCTCACCGCTGTGGTCTCACCTGGTACCTGAGTCTCACCGCCGTGGTCTCACCTGGTAGCTGAGCTCCTTGACGCGCCGCTCGGACTTGCGCAGCCCCTTGACGCTCTCGGCGTTGCGCTTCTGCTCGGCCTCCAGCTCGTTCTCCAGCTCCCGCACGCGCCCCTCCAGCTTCTGCAGCTGCTTCTTGCCGCCCTTGAGCGCCAGCTGCTCGGCCTCGTCCAGCCGCAGCTGCAGGTCCTTGATGGTCTGCTCCATGTTCTTCTTCATCCGCTCCAGGTGAGCGCTCGTGGCCTGCTCCTTCTTCAGCTCTTCTGCCATCATGGCCGCCTGCCCGCGGGGGGACAAGCAGGGGGTCCATGGCACGTTCTCCGTGGTGGCCCCGGTGATGGCCCCGCCGCGACACTCACGTCAGTGATGGCCTTTTTGGCCTTCTCCTCGGCATTCCGGCACTCCTGGACGGCCTCTTCCACCTCTGCCTGCAGCTGGGAGATGTCACCCTCCATCTTCTTCTTCTGGTTGATGAGGCTGGTGTTCTGGGGGGACAGGATGGGGCCTCAGGAGTTTTCCCTGGGGTGCTGCCCTGTCCTTCAGACCCCTGCTTATCTCTGCAGGTTGAAGGATCTTCTGGAGATCTTGGTGGCACAACACAGAAATTAACACCACCCTTCTGTACACCAACCAAATGTTCCTTGGACCTTCCATGGGTCAAGCCAACCTCCTCCAGATCAACCCAACCCTCCTGAGACCTTCAGGAGAAGGTGGCACTCTTGGGTTAAGGTTAACTGGAGGCATCTTGGAGGTCTCCAGCTCAGTGAGAGTTGGTCTTCATCACCCCAATCCAACCAGACCTTCCATAGACCAACTCAACCTCCTCCAACCAAACCCAACCCTCCTTGGACCTTCTTTAGACCAACCCAACCTCCTCCAGACCAACCTTTCAGGAGGAGGGGAGGATGTTGGGTCTGTACCGCCCTGAGCCACCTTGATCTCCCCAGCCAAGCAATCAGAGGAGTTTCTCCTGGGCTGGAGCATCCCTGGATGGAGGTGCCCTCCTCTCCTGGCAGGCAGGTGAGGTCTCACCTGTGAGTGGAGAAGCTGGACCCTCTCGCTGGCCTCGATCAGCTCCTGCTCAGCCAGTTTCCGGGCCCTCTCGGTCTGTTCCACCAGGCCCCGGAGCTCCTCCAGCTCTGACTGCAGCAGGGTGTTCCTGCGCTCCACCATGGCCACGTTCTCCTTCAGGTCCTCCCCGACCCTTGCCGCGTCATCCAGCTGCAGCTGTGTGTCCTGCGGGGTGGTGGGAAGGGGTGGTGGGTCCACCCGGCCATGGGGTGGGGAGCTGGGGGGTGAGTCCACCCAACCATGGGCTGGTGGGGAGGAGAGGAACCACCCCTGTTGGGGGGTGGCACTTCCAACACCCCAAGGTCCCCATGGACAGGTTTCTTCTGGTACTTCCTATACCCCAATATTCCTCTGTTACTTTGAGGTGCATCTTATACCTCAATGTCCCTGTGGACAG